CCTGCTGACTTCATAGCTTGGCTGATGTTCTCAAAATGGAAGGCTCAGAAACAGCTGCTTTTTATCCTTACGCTAAACTGGCCCTCTCAGGAGTCCTCTCTCTTCTGTGCTGAAGAGAAACTCAGAAAAACAGAAACATCTAGTTTCTTTGAACCACTTTTTATTCCAACTATATATGCCTAACAATGTTTTCTTAATGAACCTGTACAATTTACACATATCTGTACTGACTGATTAGTGAATCTTTTTTATTTGAGCTAGGAAGTGCTGTAACAAAATAGCCATATCCATTTGTGGTTTAATCTTACGTGTGCTTTCTTCAAAATACAGAAAGAATGCAATTAGTGAATGCATAATTTTTTTTGCCAATAAAACACTTTAAACACATTACTGTTACGTAATCTTATGACTGAATATCTTGGTTAGCTGAGCTGTGAATGCTTAATTCTAGTTAATCAGACTGGTCTATAAATACAGCCTTGTTGCAGGCATGAATCACAGGTTGCTAACTATTTCATTACCCTTTTTTTTTAATCAAGAAAATGCCCTTTTCGGTAGTTTAGAGTAAGTAAGAAGTTACAACTCAGGGAATAACTTATTTTCTGAATGAGGCAAGCAGTGGACATGCCAGACTACTGAATATGATTATTTGATGGTATGCAGAATTCTGTGCGGGCCCTACAGTTACATCATAACTGTGCTCTGTCTGTACTCTGGGAACATGCAGAAAAGTCCGTGTTTGCTTACGAGCATACTGAATTCTTTTCAGTGAATTTTTTGCTTACAAACTGGAATTTTGGAAAGTTTTTCCTCTACATTTAGTTGGTGAGTATAAATTCAGACTTCAATTGTTAGGTTCTTCTTTTAAATAGCAGGAGGCTAGCATTTACATAAAGAACAGTTTTAAGATCAGTCATGGAGCAGTGCATTTTTTCCCTTGTAGTCAAGACGGATGACCGCTGAAAAGCCCTATGGATGAAGAATGTGGTTTGGGAAGGGTTATGAATGTTGAGAAGCTGACTCCTTTCACAACCAGTTGTAATTATTAATGTAGTACATGAAACTTTTTAATATAAATAGGCAGAAGGTTATTAAAGAAAACCAAACTAAGTTTGTCTTCTTTTTCTGTGCAGTTCTAGATGATTTGGATGACCAGCTGGCCCAGGAACAAGCCCAAAATCCTTTGGACAAAACAATTTCTATTAACAGTGCAACAAATGTGCAATACAATAATGCATTTCCTACTTCAAAGAGGCAGACTACTCTTAGACGGCAACACAGAAAAGACTGGAGTGACATGCCTGGCACATCTTTCCCAGATGGACTGAGAACAGTAAGAGCCAAAGATGAACACAAGATTTTCATCAGACCAAGGAAATTACACAATGCTTATATAAACTGGCACCCGACAGCTTTTAAAGAAGATTACAAATACAGTGATCCAGTTGATGGAAATCCTCATCTGCTAAGCAGCAGGCTGTCTTCTATTTCTTTCGGACAGTCTTCAGAAGGTAGCTTGTATCCTCCTTCCATAGCACAGAACAGTGGATTTAAGCACAGGCGTTACCTGAACAGGGATACAGCTGGCAGAAGTTACTCTGTATGTTCCCTTCGGAGATGTCCATCCTCGGTATCTTCAGACCAGCTATCAGCATCTAGTTTACAGCATCCATTGGCAAGAGAGAGCAACAGCGGTTTTATACCAAGGTTTGGTCGCCAAAATCCAAAGAGAATTCCTCTGTCTTCTATTGTATGGAACAATACACTAGACTCTCCCGCACAAACATCCACTCAAGAAAAAATGTTGAAAACGCAGTCACTAATGGAGTTTCATGCCACAGACCATGGTAGATACCCTAGCCCTTTGCAAGAAAATAGGAAATATGCTTGTTACCATTCAAAACACCATTACAGAAGATCTTTTTCAAGTAGTAATTGTTTCAGCAGAGTGAGTGGTTCTGACAAACCTGCATCTCCATTGTCCTTTGATAACTGGGAAAATTATCCGTTACATAAATCAGAAAATAATCTCTCTAGGTCCTGCTATAGAGATACTTCTTCTCATGGCAAGTTGTATACAAATCAAAAAAATTCTCCCTATGGGAAAAAAGATAGCTATCCTTCTTGGGCTGATATACCTCAGTACCATAGTGATAAAGTGTTTACTTCCCCTGATGCGAGCTTTGAAGGAGTTACGGCTAACTTAAATGACTGGCAATGGACACATACAATGAACGTCAAGTATGCTTCACAGCGCCTGCAGAATGATTTTCACATGTATTCTCCAGAACATACGAGCATCGAAAAGGTAGCAAGAAGTGTAAGTAATAGAACTTTTGCAGAATTCACCGAAGGCTATCAGCCTTGGCTAAGTCATAACTCTCCCGTTTCTTCATATGGCACCAGAAGTGATGAGCCAGTCTTTCCTGATTCAAAGGACCAAACAAAAGCTATAGGACTGAACAGCAATTCAGTCGTTGTTACTCAGAGAAGTACTAAGATGGACTTGGAGCAACTAGAAGATGTCGAAGATAAGAAACTGCCAGATGAAGTAGATATTAAAGACATGACATTATTGTCAGTTTCTCAACAAGCAGATGCAAACTACACCAGCACACAGAGTTTACCTTCCAATAACCCTGCTTCTGCCATCCTGCCAAACAGTGTATCTCTCTTGAACTCACTGAGATCAAAAAGACAAACCCAAGGCACTGCCAGAAGAGAGACTGCAAAAATATATGCCTCACACAGTAATAAAAGAAACATGCAAATGAAGGAAAATGGTTGCCCACCCAAGAGTGTGTTCAGTCAGCCTCCCTGTATTTTGCCAGCTGATGAGAGCAGAAAGGAACGTTGTCTTGCAAGTCAGAAACCATGGGAACATAATCTACATTATGCAACAAAAAGAAAAAGCATCAAAGTGGATAATCAGAGTACAGGAACAGTTAACCAAGCTACTCCAAAGAGACGGTCTTCACTGGTGGATGTTGGTTCTGCTCCATCGACTGAAAAATTAGTGAAGCATCAAGGCATGTTGCCCAGTCCTCCTGAACGTCCATCTAGTTCCTCACAAAGCTCTCCACAAGCACTTTCTCATAAAGACAATTTAAAGTGTTTAGAAACACTAGCTAACTCTTCAGTAAATTGCACAGTTACTGAATCTCAAGCAGAAGGTGAAAAAACAGCTCAAAAGAGCAGAACAGATGTTACCAAAAAGATGTCACAGAAAACATCACAAAATCCTAGCACTTTAGTGAATAAGGACTGCAATAGACAGTTCACTACTAGTTCTCTAGAAAATGGAAGTTCTGGAAATATTTTTATATATAGCTTTGATGGGGACCTCCAGACCTCCGAGCATAGTTTAAATTATTTTTGCCTTGAAAAAGAAAGTGGAAAAATAAGGAATAATTCACCTTGTATTGAAAGGCTTAACAAGCAAGACAGCTTGATGCGATATACCAGCAGCTGCAGCGTTACTGGCTCCCCTAGCAGAAACAACCCCAAATCTCCTGATCCGCTTGTTATCTATTATACCTTACCTAGAAAATCAGCTAGCATTGCTGGTAGTATCATGTCAGATACGCCTATCTCTCTCCCTAGAGAAAGCAGAACAAGCACATTTGATCGTTTAAGGACTGAAACTCCAAACAGAACTGATGTATTTTGTTCTAATGAAAGCACGTCCTGTTTAGACTCAAAACGTTCCTTGTTAACATCAGCACCATTAAATGCTGCTACAAGTATCGAAGAAAAAGATTACCCCGTTCCTTTCACCAAAAGTCCTAATGACTCAGTAAGCAGTAGTACATCAGTCGAACTGGCGGAGAGTTCTAAACATCTGACCAGAAGAGGATGGTCTGGTTTTTCAGAATGTAAGGAAAGGGGAAATTGTTTGCAGAAATATAAAACTACAAGCACATTTACAGTTTGTGTTGATGAAGATCATGTCAAATACCATGAACTAGTTTCAATCTATTACACATTGCCACGGAGGCATTCTAGAACGTTTTGTCACCTCTTTAGGGATAAGCCAGAGGATGCAGAATTACCTCTTCCCGAAGAAAATTCTCAGTCACCAAGAATATTTAACAAGAATAATGAAGGTCACATGAGTTTAGCAAATGTATTTTACCCTAATACTTTGGAAAAAGAGGTGCCTTCGTATTCTTCTGACCACGTACCTTCAGCTCTGGTCACACCTCGGAACTTAGAAACTGCTGTTGACCATAAAGAAGAGAATTCCCACTTACTTCCTAGCTCTGAGAAGGTATGTGCTTCAAAGGCAGTAAGTACAGTACATATTAGGAAAGATATTGCACCAGATCTTCCATTAGCAGAAAGTACACTTCCTGACATGATGACAACAGGCATTTCTTTTGGTGGTCCACAATCCATTGCAATAGTGGGTGACACAGGTAAGGCCATTTCTGCTGCTTCAGGCAATCAAAATACAGAAACAGAAACACGTCTAAAAGAAAAGAAGGAAATTTTGCAAACAGCCACATCACTAACCTCCACTTTATCAAAGCCTCCCAAACCAGGCAGGCCTCTAGAGGATCTTTGTTATTGCACTTCAACAAATAAGAATAGTGTACAAAAGGGAAACTCTGAAAACTGCTATCAGCCTACTAAAGTAAAAACAAATGAAAATCAGAACAGTTTAGTGCTCCACCCAAGGGAGAAAAGTTATTTTGGTGGGAACAGTAATACAGAGCATTCTAATGCTCCAGTTCCTCCTTCTGAAGATAGATATAGGGATAATATGAAAGTCAAGCAGAGAGAAAATCTCCTACACCAAATCACTCCTCTATATAATAATAAAAGTAGTAGACTGCAATTACGAACCGACAATTCAAGAAATAGCACAAATGATTTAATCTCTTGTAACAAAATGCTTTCAGAAGCCCAGAACAAAGCATTTGAGATAGGTACAGCTTCCAGTGCTGACCCGTTCCTTCAGCTAGACGAAATGGGTAGCACAGATACAAATGAGTTAAAGATTTCAAAAATTGAAAAAGTACAAAACTTGCAGAGTGCTGAGATTGGTAAAGATTACACTGGTTTGCAGGAATTGGAGAGGCACAGTGAAGACAGCCTGAACGTTAACTGCAAAGTCCTTGGGGTTGCACAAGATCAAAAGTTAACACAGAATGCAGAAAGTGAGAGCAAGCTTCTCTCTGGCTGCACAAGAGACAAAGTAAAAGATATAGAAAAAAGGAAAAATAGACCTTTGATTAAAAATAAACTGGCAGCTGTTTACAAAACAAGTCGAAAATTTTCAAGTAAAAATTTACCCCCAAAGCCACACATCAGTAATATTTTTTCACAGAATGATGGAAGTGCCACTTCTCCAGAGGTTACGATGCCTCTTGACTCCTTGCTTTCAGCAGATTCCAATCCGTTGTTTCTGCAGTCTGCAAATGAAAACCAGAATCGTAGTCCGGACCCTGAAGGGAATACCCCGATACAAGGAACAGCTGAGAGAAATAAGAGTGAAAATGAAAATGATCTTTCTTTGCTTGTTAATAACACAAATTGGAGGTCTTTTACAAGTTCATACACACAGAAAGAAGCCATCAGTCCCCCAAAAAAGACAATAGAAGTGGAAAACAGGCCAAGTCTTACAACCCTATTTCCAGATAAAACAGTAGCCACAAGAAATAAGAATTCTCAAACCCTTGGTCTTGGGTTAGAAAACAGAAGCCAGTCTCTCCCTCTTCATGCTACTACATCAGCCCCACTGGATGACGAGAGAGGAAGAGCTAGGAGTAGTGCATGCAGTCCTCCCTTGCCACTTCTAACTGACAAAAACTCGAACCCCTTTATAAATAATTACTTGCAGGCAAACATATGTCCAGAGCAAAGGTTGACTTATCAGATGGCTTTTGGTCAGCATCAAAATACCTATCAGTCTAATAGCTTAAAAAATGCTAACTTGTATAGTAATCAGTTGCGCAAGAGTCATGCAAAAAATCAACGTGAGCGTCACCTTTCTGAGAGTACTTGTGCTCGAGATTCTCAGGACAGCTTTGCCTCTGGAAGCAATATTCTACCTAAAGATAGTAGACATGGGAAGAGATTTAAATCTTACTCAGAGCTGTTGTCTTGTGACGAAAATGAAAACTGGGCATCTGACAGTGTAAAAAGTTACAGCACTAGGAATTTGATGTATCCTTCTGTTGAATTTGGTATATTCGGCAAAGAGCAACAATTGGCTTTCCTGGAAAACATCAAGAGGTCGCTCACGGAAGGGCGATTATGGAGGCCTTGCCTTCTTAGTAACCCTGGCGCTCTCAGAGATGGAGAGAGCCCTTTAAGCAGATCTGAGCTTTTGAGCTCTAGTTCTGCTGGGAGCAAAATATCATCGGCTGCTTCATCGCCCAGAGAGCTGACTGAAATGTATCAGGGAGAGCCAGCAACTTATTCAGACTCGGACACTGATACTACCACAGATGATGAATATTACCTAGATGAGATAGATAAAGAATCAGAACTATGACAACTTGTGGTACTAAGATTGCAAGATAGCTCAGTAGTTTCTGGTCAGGCAAAAACATAAAATATTTTAAGCCCCTTCTTATGCTGCTATAAATCAGTACAATTTGATTAGTTTTAAAGAAGTTAGTATCTTATGTTACTTGAGCCTTTGACTTTTTATGTTAAATATGTGGCTTCGCCATTGTTCTTCTTAGGAGAAAGAAAACCTTCCAAAAATTATAACAGATAAATGACTGTAGAGCTTTGGGCAGTATAATGTTAGAGATGGCTTTCCACTGACATGAGCAAGCACTGGGTTAGGCTCCTGCCAACCAAGTACAACAATGCTGAAATGGATGAATTCTAGCTCTAGCTATGTTTGCTTAGAAGATTTAACAGGAAACCAACATATTACATTGCTGATGTGGACTGTTTCTCCAATCATCTTCTTCATTTAGTAAATCATAACGATGGCAGTCCATCCCACCTAATACACACACACCCAGAATGAAAACATTTCAATGTTTGTAGCATATTCAGTAGGAGTGCTCCTGCTTTCTTTATTCTTGGGAAGCAGGTTGCAGCAATGTCACTGATGGAGTTTGTTTGGCGATACAATTTCTGGATTCCACGAGGTGGATTGTGCACTAGGATTCATAGGGGGATTCATGATTAAAATAGTTCTGATTACAGCCAGATAGCTGCCTTTGTTGTAGGAACAGGTTAACTTGGATTAATAATCTGGCACTTTAAATGGTGCAAAATTTTGTAAGAAGATTTACCCTACTTATATCCTATATAAACCTCATAGGTTGAATCCTAAGTTGCCCTAACAGTGGGAAGGCAAATGTGACCCTGCTATAACTTGTTGCTTCACAAAGTTCTTTGACTGCCTCTATACTTAGATGGTCCCCATTAGAGTGCAGTGCAACCATTGGGCTACTTGAGTGTTACGCCACCCAAAGCAGCCTGAGAAAGCACTTTGCTGGTTCAAGCCTGTGCTGTACGGAAATGGTAATTTGTTTTCGTATGAAATAAATAAAACTGGTGGAAAATACTGCTTGCCCTTTGCTAAATTGCCATCTCTTTTTGGTATTTTTCAAACGTTCTCTCTGCCACCACGGAACTTTTTATCCTTTGAGCTTAAAGGCTGCAGACGTTTTCCTGCAGCTATTCCTCAGCCACACTAGTAAAGGTGTTATTACTCAGTAGCCAAAACCCATCCCTGGCCATTAAATTTCTAACTAAGCTGTGATCTCTTGTCATGCAAAATCACAAGTGGCTCATTGAGCCAGAAGGTAGTATTTTTAAACAATTACACAACATTTATTTCTACGTCCGTAATTCCACATAGAGTCTAAAATGTTCATCCATATTTTTGATATGTTTTTTAGTTCAATAAAATTTCTGGAAAACAGAATTATATTTTTGTAACTGGAAGGACAGTATACTGATATTTTAAAATAATATATTCTAAACAAAACGAGCAATGCTTGTATCACTGAATACTCCACAAGAATCTAAAAGAGATGAAAAATACTGTAGTAGGTAACTGGTATCCTTATTTTTTTATATTGTAAACTTCGTTAAAGAAGTGGAGCTATAATTCAAATATGTATTGAAATGTAAGTATTATTATTACTTTATACTATGATAATTTGTCCTTCTTGTACATAAAAGGACTGATATAAACTGTGTATTTATAGTCAGAACTGTTCTTTACACATACCTGTTTTGGAAGGATATACGCGTACGCTGACATATGTAATATTGGAAGGAAATAATTACCATATAGTTGTACTCTTGTAAGATAGGCTGTTCTAAGGAGAAATTACGTTTTTCTGTAAATTCCTCTACTCCGTATGTACAGGTTTCTGTAGAGCAAGACAATAAAACCAACTTAGTATTAGTGAGGAATTTCTGCTGCTGTACATTTCTGCAAAATATGTTAGTCCAAAAATTTAGGAATACCAGCCTACATAAGTTAGTAATAAAATAAATGTTTACAAGGGAGGTAAATGGTCATACAGTTTTGCTTGACTAGAAATAGATTGTTTAGAATGATTATATAGAATATTTTTATTTGTAAATATTTTCTGCCTGCTCAGTAGAATTTGGATTAAGTTCTCACCTTATTGGCATAAAAAGGTTTTCATTTGCTATGTTATGTATGTACAGTAAATTGGGAGGTTTGATTTAATGTAAACAATTCTAAAAAAACAGCTTTTGGGCATAAATTAGGTACGCGAGACTGCAGTCTGTTGAGGATCTGTAAACTAATATTTATGTAGAATGATGCTATTCTGTAAAATAGTTGATTATGTGAAAGCTCAGAAAAATCCTTTGAATAAAAAGATCTTTTCCATTCCGCTTAGCAGAGCCAGAATTGGACATCATCACTCTTCCAGGCTTTTTTCTGTGCGCACAGTGTAGTCTATAAATGGTCATAATTTATAGAATTTTCATATTTAAAACTCCTTGTTTGAAATAAACTGTGCATTCAAATGAACAAATGTATGGGTACTGTGTTTATTTTTCACTTACTGTGAATGCCATAGACAATTTATCCAAAGGAAAAAAAATCCAGCATCTTCATTTTGCTTCCAGGATACTAATGGCAAACAATGCTAAGAGATCACATTCCCATGGTTTAAAATGGAGCAGCTAGCCTTGATCCATCACGCAGCTCTAGGCAAACACATGAAAATGAAGCACGTTATGTGGGTCACTGAATCTGTGTAGCTCCAGCATGTCTCTCACACTGAGAAAGGACATGTGCAGCTGACTGATAGGAATCCTTCACCTGCTAAGATGCTAGCTGGCGGTGCGCTTAGGCAGCTAATGATCAAAGCAGCTACCAGCTGCATTTATTCTGCTACCTTTTTTTTCCTGCTAATTGATGAATCTCTAGCATACAAATAATTTTCCATCAGCAGCAATGTCTTCACAGTAATAAAGGCATGTTAACCCCATAGAGAGCCATATGCCTATAAATTGCCTTGAAGAGATTATACTTTGTGTAGGGGCCAAGAGTAATACGTAATAAGTCGTTTTTACAACACAGTGAGATCCATGTGGAAATCACTTCAGCTAGAATTAGGCATCAGTGGAGGCGGAATGCCACGTGCAGTGTGATTGTGCGTGGGACTCACCATTGTCTTTGAACCTTAATTACTACAGCCAGCATCTGTGGTACCTGAACTGAGTGACACAGTCCCTCAGCCTGATTTCCTAAGAAAATACGGTTTATGCACTAAGGTTGTGTTTCTGCCAATCTCTGTTCATCCGTCAGTTCACTCATATCCCCAGATGACCTTCAAACTTAAAAGTCTCAATGACATTTGAAAGAAAGGGCAGGATTCTTATGGTTTCATGCAAACAGGATCACAGGATAATTCAGGCGGGGAGAGACCTCAAGGGGTCTCTGGTCCATCCTCCTGCTCACAGCAGTGTCAGCTCTGGGGTCAGACCTAGATGGTCAGGGGCTTCATCGAGTTGGGTCTTGAGAACCTCTGAGGACAGAGACTGCACAACCCCTTGGGCAAATCGTGCCACTGCCTGACTGTCCTCATGGAGAAAAGTTGCTGAAAGCTGGAGAAAGTCTGAACTTCCTTTGTTCCAGTTTATGCCTGTTGTCCCTTGTCCTCCCACCATGCACCACTGTGAAGAGCCTGTGAAAGTACTGGCAGGCTGGTGTCAGGTGTCCCCAAAACCATCTCTGCTCCAGGCTGGACAAGCCCAGTTCCCCAGCCTCTCCTCACAGGTCAAGTACTCCAGCCGTGACCATCTCAGTGCTGAACTTCTGCTGAACTCACTGGTTCACCAATGTCTTTCTTCCTTTGGGGGGGGGAGGGGGGACCAAAATTGGACACAGTATCTAGATGTGGTCTTCTTCAATCTCTGGCTCTGCCCATGTTCATACAGTCCAGGGTGCTGTTGGCCTTTGCTGCCAGGGCACACTACTGGCTCACATCCAGCTTACTGCCCAGTGGGACACCTCGTGTCTTTTCTGCAGACCTTTTCCCAGGTGCGTTGTTGAAGGGGTGCACCACCAGCACCACCAGCCCTTCCTGTCCCTGCCCACCTTCCCAGGGCTTCCCCTACTCTGCCCAGGCCCAGGCCCACATTTCAGCCCAGCCTAGGGCTGTCAGTCCCTGCCCTGCGATGCTGTAGCAGTTCCTGCCCCACCATGGGCTGGATCCTGACCCTCAAGCCATGGGCAACTGCCTGGATCCATGGTCTTGCCCAGCCATCAGCAGGCTGTGTCTGCCCCTGGTCACCCTCACCAGGCCTGACCCCCAGCCAGGGGAATCAACTGCCTGGCCCTGCCTTGTTGCCACAGGCTTAGCTGATGATCCAGGCCGGGTGGCCTGTGGCCAGCCCTGCTCGCCTTGTTGGGCTCCGGCAAGGCTGGGCCAGGACAGCAAGGGCTCTGCCCTGCGGCAGCTCCCCATCCTCCAGGAAGCCACCAGCCTCGCTGCTCACCAGCGCTAGATGCCAGGCTTCGTGTTTCTCCTATTGAATTTCAGGGCCCATTTCTCCAGCCTGCCCAGGTGCTCATGGCGGGCAGCCCAGCCTTTGAGAGTATCCACTGGTCCCTCCCACTGGTTTGGCATCACCTGTGAGCAGGATGCCCAAACACACCATCACCTCCTTCCTGCTGCTGACAAGGTCAGGCAGGGCAGGTCCCAGGCCAGACCCCTGCGGTGCTGCCCTCCTTACCGACCTCCAGGCAGAGATGGCCCATTAACGCTGCCCTCGGAGCCCAACCAGCCAGCCAGTTTTTCACCCAGCTGGCTGTCTGCTCATTCACACCTAACCCGGATACAGGAAAATTGTGGGAGACAGCGAAGCCTTTGCTAAATTCAAGGTAAATGCCACCCACTGCTTTCTCATCACAGACCCAGTGACTTTACACCAGAGGCAACCAGGTTGGCCAGGCGTGCTCAACCCATGGTGAATCTAGGCTGGCTGTTCCCAGCCACCTCCTTCGCCTGCTCGTGCCCAGGAGCACGCTCCAAGCTGGTGCACAGGGAGAGGAAAACAGCCCTTGCTGATCCTTTCGCTGAAAGTAGCAGCCAGGGATGAACTGGCTGGCCAATAAGCAAATGTGTAGCTACAAATTAAGAGCATACGTGTTTTCTCTTGCCCACTGGGAGCAGCGTATATGGTATGTCGGTGATTATATGAGATGAGGGAGTTTAGGAAACTAAAGACAAAAGCAAAGAGGAAACCGGACTTGATAGCTCTGCTTTCGAGGAACCTGTTTTTCATGGTCTGTATGCTTGGAGACTTGAAGTTCATGTTGATCATAAACATGCAGCATTCATTCATGCTCTCACTTGTTTTTGTTTTTCATATGCGAAAAATCGAGGCTTGCATGGAAGCTTAGATTTAAATCTCTTACAGTCTTGCAAGCTCCCGCCTCTACTGACACCCTGAATATTTCATAGTAGACAAGCAGCAAAGATGCTCCTGATAAAAACGATGTAACAACCTTAGGAGACAAATCTCTTGATTCTGGGTATGTGCCCGAGCCACATCTGGACTTCGCACTGGGGAAAGACTTGTGAGCACGCTGCCTCGTCACACCATCCGCGGCCGGGAAGGTGAGCTCAGGGGCAGGCACCAACTTGCCAGTACGTCCCAACAGCTTCCCCAGTGTGTCCCTCGGTTTAAATGCAGCCAGTATGGCAAATCCTAGCAATGGCAAGGAGGACTTTTCAATTATATTTTTATTTATTCTGTAGCAATCTTTGCCTGTACGTCAACTGATACAGGCCATAACAATTAACCAGCTTTAGAGAAATAAGATTTATTGCTCTTTGAATTCAGTGATACCAGCTGCTCAGCTGAAGATTGAATCGTGTCATAAAATACAGGCAACGTTGTATGGGGGAGACAGAGAGATCATTGTCTCGTCAGCTTGGCCTGCAGGGTACCCGTGGACAAAGAGAAGGAAAAACCTCTTGAGACATTAAAACACTAGATTCAGAACAGCTTGTGTGTAGACAAACGGGTCTGAAGCGCATCGTTCACTCTGACACCAGCGTCTTCCCTGACTCTGAAAATGCACAGATACAGAAACGTGAACTGCACTTGGTGCCAAGAGGCTGCTGCATCTTCCTCTCGCCCAGTAACGAACACCTGCCAGTTCGGGCAGGCTGAAAACTAAGAAATGGGTTGTTTTTTTTTTTTTTTTTGTGGCACCGGCCAAAAGCGCGCC